TGCCTGGGTGACAGGCGTGAGTGCTTATGTTATATCTTATAACATAAATAATACTTTTTTTTTTTTTGATAATCTTTCTGCGTGGTCTGTCGTACAAATAGTATAGATAGAAAACAGAATCATGTAGATATTAAGGGAAAATAAACTAATAAGATAATAGGGAGCAATTTTTAATGACTAGTCTAGGGCAAAGTTTTAAATTTTGCCCTAGACTAGTCTAGTCTAAATTAAATTATAAAGGTGCGACGACAATTAAAACAAGCTTTATGTTACTGGTGACCAAATCGCGTGAGCCAAACTAGCGTGCGACGACAGAAACCGTCGAAGCACCAGAAGAAGTATTTTAAAGCACTTCTTAGTGTTCTTTCACTAGGTTAGGTTAGAACTGACAAAAAATCACGAAATACAAGTAAAATAATCCCATAGAATTCGATCAGAACATATCTATATTTAGTAAATTTGAATAATATATATAATCGAAATAAATAGACTAATACCACATCTCATATATATTAACGGAATGGTATTCTTTTGAAATATATCTTTTAAATTTCGATCTGACGTTTATTCATTTATCAAAAATGTATGGAGGGGGGATATTTGACATAGTTGTCACGCTTGGCAGGCAACTTTTGATTATTTATTTATTTGGTTCACCAACAAATGTTGCACTAATACTTATGTTTCATTCTAAGACAGTAATTGCAGCTCTGTGACCTTGGAACCCGAAATGAAAAAAATAAAAAAATTATAATTCATACATATTCAACAAACAACGCAGATATTTGTAATACCGTTTATTTGTTTGTAGTCCTAAAAAATCTTCCGATAATTACTAAATGTTGTTTTTTTTTCATGAAATATAATAATTTTTAAAAAATCTTGATTCCCAATGCGTTAAGAATCGTTTGTAGATGATTGTAATACTAAAAAAAAAATATTACCGGACCTGAATCTTGAAAGATATTATTATTTAAAAAAAATCTATCACCCGAATGAACTACAAATGATGCAGATGATTGTAATACCGTTTATTCGTTTGTGGTCCTAAAAAATCTTCTGATAATTACTAAAAGTTGTAATTTTTCATGAAATATGATAATTTCGAAAAATCTTGATATCAATGCATTCAGCATCGTTTGTAGATGATTGTAATAATAAAATTATTCCATCATAAGTCTTAAATTGTGAAGAAGCATTCTCACTTGGAATTAGTTCATTAAACAACTAGACCTGCAATCAATGAAGCCTATTCGACTAGCTTCAACTATGGCTCCATATTTTGTTTTATGTTCAATTACTGTTTGTCGCAATAGTTTCCGGTAAGAAAGTTAACAATTTGCCAATGGGGAAGCGCTTAGTTATTAACTGTATATTCGCGCGCCGATGTAGTCAACCTCAGATATCTAGACTCTTTTGATGCAGTCAACATTCGCCCTGAAAGCTTACTATCTCCAATTGGACTGCGTTGACCAATATGCATGGTAGATAAAAAAGAAATTCAAATATCGAGCGAAACTGATGCATTTCGATTGAATTAACCCTTAATCCCTCGCGCTATTTTTCAACCTAATTCACTCGCGCGGTGAGCACGGCGCCGCCGTGTTTAATTGTGTGTGACGTTGCCAAACTTACAGAGAATCACGAGATGCGAGAATCACTATAATGTTGGTGAAAGCTTGAGGAGGCAATACTGCCTGCCGCTCTTTGATTGCCGGCGTACTCGCTCCGGGCGGCACTGTGCCGCGTGCCTATTCCGCGCTCAATAAATTTAATTTTTGTAAGAATTCAAAAAAAAAATATTCCTAAAAATAGTACCAATGTCTTTCTAAGAGTTCAATGGGAGAATTAGAATTTTTTCTAATATTTTCAACCATTGAACCACGAGAAAAACCTAACCTAACCTGTAAAAAAGGCGGCGCCACGCTCTTGGCGCGAGTGATTAAGGGTTACACCACTATGCGAGTAGATTATAGATCTGACTACTGTTAAAGGACTCAGTTGACTTAAAAGGAATATAAACTATACCGTTTACCCGTTTGTAGTCTTAAAAAATCTTCTGATAATTACTTAAATATGTAATTTTTCATGAAATATAATAATTTTCGAAATATCTTGATATAAATGCATTCAGCATCGTTTGCAGATGATTGTAATACTAATTTTTTTTTATACCGGACCTGAATCTTGAAAGATATTATTATTAAAAAAATCTATAACCCGAATGAACTACAAACGACACAGATGATTGAAAAATGAAAAAATACAACTTTTAGTATTTATCAGAAGATTTTTCAGGACTACAAACGAATAAACGGTATTACAATCATCTGCGTTGTTTGTAGACTATGTATGAATTATAATTTTTTAATTTTTTTTTTCGGATTCCAAGTTCACAGAGCTAGTAATAGCTACTATATAATATTATAAATGCGAAATTAACTCTCTCTGTCTGTCTATTACGCTTTGACGCCTAAACCACTAAACCGATTTTGATGAGACTTGGTACAAAGATAGACTAGACCTTGGGAAAGGATATAAGCTACCGTTTGTAGTAAAAAAGGGCATGAAGGGGTTGAAGTAGGATATAAACTCTGTGTTTAGGCACTTGATAAGAAGTAAGTAAATGTTTGTTCTAGCGTTTTTGAAATTTCGACCAACATGGGAATGAAATAGGTGATGAATGTTCGTATCAAAGTACAAACAAATCTGTCTACATTTATTACATGTATATTTATCGGAAACATGTGTATGTCGGAAACATGTAAAGTATCGACTTAACGCCGTCTTGGCGCAGAACTGTCAAGCGTCCATACACAATGTACGACGCCGCGGCGCGGTGCGGCGTAGTGGGGGAAATGGTCCGAGAGCTCATGACGCATTTTTCATGAAGTGTTTGATGCACCATGAAACATTGTTGAAAAGTATCAGTCCACTCAATAATCACGTATATGACTGTTTGTCTGGCCTGCCTGGGTTGGCTACACCTGGTACTGCGCATATAGGTAAGTCGCAAAAAAATTTGCCCAAAAAAAGTGTTTGATTCAAATAATAATAATGACTATCCGTAAGCTAATTTTATAAAGAATTAAGAAAAAAATGGCAGACACTTCTGAAGGTGTTGGAATAAGGGCAGACTACCCCAAAGTTGTATTTCCAAAAATTCCAAAAAAAGTGTTTGATTTAATCTGTCATGTTTACAGCGTGTTTATTATCTAATCTTTATATATAAAAATTACGTGTCACGTTGTTTGCCCGCGATGGACTCCTAAACTACTGAACTGATTTCAATGAAATTTTGCACACTGTGGGCATTTTGGTCCAACTTGAGAGATAGGATAGTTTTTATCCCGCTAAATGATCCTAATTTTTTTTTTATTGCGTATTTTAGAATTTTTATAGGAAGGGTCGTTGGAAAGGGCGGAACAACGTCTGCCTGGCGAGCTAGTATATAATAAATAATTCTCATAAAAGAGCAGACAGTTTCTCCGGGGGTTAATAATTTAAAAATCTATACAAATAAATAAAATTGAAGTGTCTGTTTGTAATGTCAAAATAACAGCTTTTTACTAAACGCATATGAAGTTATATACGATACTAGCTGATCAGGCAAACTTTGTTCTGCCCTTTCCGACGATCCTTTAAATCTTTAAATTCGCAATAAAAATATTGAGAGTCACTTATCGGGATGAAAACTACAAAATCGTATCTTTCAAGTTGGAGCATGCAATACACTTTTACAAAATTTTATTAAACTCGGTTGAGTGGTTTCGGAGTTCATCGCGGACAAACAATGTGACACGTAATTTTTATATATAAAAATTTATAACAGAAGCACAATTTTTAAAATTTTTGTCTGTCCGTCTGTTCCAGCTAATCTCCGAAATGGCTGGACGGGACTTTCGCTGGCAGTTAGTTGAAGTTATAATAAGTAACTTAGGTTACTTTTATTTTAGAAAAATTATTACGGTTCCGCGCAAAAAAAAAACCAGTTGTCGCGGAGAACAGCTAGTACAAATCTTGTAAAATAGTATAAATCTTGCGTGGACAAGACACAAATGTGCTACGGGTTGTAATGAGTGCGACAATGAACGACGGTCGCCGATACGTGAAAAAAGTGTTTGATTAATATTTGAAACAACACTTTTTTTAGGCAATATTATTTGCCACTTACCTGTACGCGCAGTACCAGGTGTACCCAAGTAGACCAGGCAAACAGTCATATATCTGCTTAATGAGTGGACTGATACTTTTCAATGCACCCAACACTTCATGAAAAATGCGTCATGAGCTGTCGGACCATGTGTGTGTGTGTTTGTGTGTGAGTGCGTCCGTGTGTGTGTGCGTGCGTTTGTGCGTGCGTGCGTGCGTGCGTGCGTGAGTGCGTGCGTGTGTGTGTGTGTGTGTGTGTGTGTGGCTGCCCGGACGGGCAACAGAGACACGTGACTGCGACTGAGTCCGACACGACGTATGCGAATATTAAAATTGCTCCGCTGCAACGATTTCGATTTGTTTACAGGATTTTTTGCTTTAATGTTTTTCGTAAAAAAAGTTTCATTTAAAATTATTTCGATTTTTTGCAGGTTATTAAATACATTTTAGCTTTCATAGGGTCGTTTTTTGTTTATTTCATTCGTTAAAAGTACTTTATTTTAGAGTTTAATTAGATTTTATTATTTTTTTTTATGGGTTGGTGTCAAACGAGCACAAAGTCCAGATGATAAGTGGTTGCTGTGACGCATAGACATCTATCCTCAATAAGGAATCAAAATGCAGATGCGTTGTTACCCGTGACGACTGAGGTGGAATGCCTCTTTTCCAGTAAAAAGGGTATCCGGTTCTCTGCACTCACCGTACGAAACACAGCATTGTTAAGCTGCTATTTTACGCCGGTATTACATATATGTTACGCTACACATATATTAAATTGAAATGAATGCTTTAGAAAACAGTAAAAAATTATATTACACTTATAATTTTAAAATAAAATTAATATTTACTACACAAGCAGGTATATGTAGGATCGCAAACTCCACCGAAGGGACAATGAGAACAAGCTACACCTTCAATGTATACTGATCTCATGAACTGATTACCACCAGGTGCGAAATTGCAAATCAATCTATTGATTGTTCTATTTTGTTTTCCGTTATCAAAACGCTCCTGTAAAATAAAATTATAATTAAACTTTATGGCATTTTTTTATCAAAAAATACACAGCATGTATCGAATATATTTAAATTCATGTCTCGCGAAGTATTCTTAAAAATACTATCTGGGTATATTTACGTAAGTCTTACATAGTATTACGGTATGTCTAACATTCTCCAATATGGTAGTACCTATACATTTATTTACTGTTGTAATGATAAGTTGTAATACTTTTAAAATGTAACATGTAGGGATTGTAATGCAAATATATTTTCTGTTTATAAAATACATCTTATATTAATTACGTCACTGCTTTTAGTGTATTTAATATTTCATACCCGAAACTTCACACCACCACAGCCTACTAAATTAGATTCAGCCCAAACAAGCTGCGTAAAATAATCATAATGCTTAAGATGCGATTGATTTGATCTGAAAAAAAAAATTGATATGTAAAATATGTACAGTAGATATACAGAATTTATTTCCATATCTATTGTGCTCACGGGCGATATCGAGAAATAATTGAAGCGTTCACATTTAAAAGTTCCATATACCAAACGTCTACCAATATTGCTGGCGTTAAACTTGTTGATTCCCCAACAACTGTCGCAATATTTTGACCCACATGAACGTTATCTGAAAATTAGTAGAATATTGTAATTATTAAAATATTGAGGTTTTGCTAAGGGCGTTTACAAACGAGCCGCAGTTTAGCAACGACAGTGACAAAAGTGAATAAAACCGGAAAAGGAGGCACTGACTATAAATTGTGCATAGACAATCCTAGACCCAGAACAATTACTATCGTGAAATTATTGTTGTGGGCTCTTCAAAAATTGTTCCCTGCAGGAAATCGAACCTACGGCTCGCAGCTAACACTTAACCTATACGCTGTCCGACTGGAGAAAAATATCGGTTATAGTCTACAGTAACTGATATTATAATGATATTACTTTATTTTTCTTCGTCATCAACTTCTCCTAAACTATGAAAGATTTCTAGTTTTTCTTGATTTTTCCAAATATAATACAAATATTATAAGACAAATAAGTAATCATCATCATTACAGCCTTTCACAAGTCCACTGCTGAACATAAGCCTCCCCCAAGGAATGCCACAAAGCACGGTCCTGAGCCACCTGCATACATCTTCCTGCATGTCTCACCAGGTCGTCACTCCATCTAGTGGGGGGTCGCCCTACACTTCGCCTACCGGTACGAGGCTGCCACTCGAGAACCTTTCTTCCCTATCGGTTGTCGGCTCTTCGAGCTATATGGCCGGCCCACTGCCACTTCAGCTTACTAATCCGTTGGGCTATGTTGGTTACTCTGGTTCTGCTACGGACATCCTCATTTCTAAGTTTATCATGCAAAGAAACTACGAGCATAGCCCTCTCCATAGCTCGCTGAGCGACCTTGAGCTTCCTCATACGGCCAGCAGTGAAGGGCCACGTCTCAGATCCGTAAGTCATCACTGGCAATACGCACTGGTTGTACAATTTCGTTTTAAGGTTTAATTAATAATTCATTTTTTTTATTATTATGTTTGGTTTATAAGACAAATAAGTAAACTTTAGTTAAATTACTTAAAACGGCGAAATTACCTAAATCTCTACAAAAGTCTTTAATATCTAGCTGTTTATACGGCATACATTGGTCGGCCCATCGCTGTGCTGAAATTTCTAACTCATCGTTCCATTCCTAAACATAACAAATATATTATATGTTTACAAAAATATGAGGACAAATAATAACGCTATGATTCTACAAAAAATCCAAATAAGAATAGGGGCCGTTAAAATCGATTGAAATAAAGTCAATTTTATATATAACGCAAAATATATAACATTATTAAATATAATAATTAAAAAAATACCATTTTAAGCATATTTTCAGCCGCCGGTAATGAGCGAATGTCGCCCGATGCAACCCTATTTCGACGGCTATTTATCTTATCCAAAATCTCTTGCTTATCTTTTTTTGTTTTAATCGTTTTTTCATGATCGACGCAACGTTGCGCTGGTTCGTTTAACTACGAATATAAATTAATTTTTGGTTTTAAACATGTAAAAACATATTCACAAAATATTTATTCCTCTTCTTTCAGCATATTTAGCTCTACTACTTGACATAGGCGTTTTCAATAATACATCAGCTGCATTTCTTGAAGGAGTTGCAGATGAAGATGTTCTATTTAAAAAGTCTATCATAAAAGCCACGTCCTCATATTTAATAAATATTCCGTTAGTCAAAAAGGCATATTGCCCCGTATTTACACTTATTAGATATTATACATTTTAAAAAAAGACACTACGTAATTAAATATCAGTTTTACCTTAAATTTACATAATGTGTGTTGATTATCGCAAATGTTTGAATTGCAGTAATTTTTAGCCTCACAATAGTAACTCGTAAATAATATGATAAAAATTATACATAATAAATAAAGATTTTTGACAAAAAATGCTAACATTTATTAAAAGATATTTCAACACAACTTATGTGACATAATAATAAATAAAGACAATTTTGAATCTAGTGGGTTTTATTTTATAACTAGCGACTCGCTCTGGCTTTGCCTTGATAGGATCTATAAATGTCGTGTTATTAAGATGTAAGTTATGTAATCAAATACCATTTATTTTATCAATTCTTCGTTTTCTCAAAAACAATATCTTCAAGTTTTTTGGCTAAAATATAGCCTAGATGCTTCCTTCCATTGCTCTCTGTCCGTTCGTAAAGTTTCATTACAATCGTTTCGGAAGATTAGCCCGGACAGACAGACAGAGAAACAGACAGACAGATTTTTTAAATTATTATTTACGCCTTAATAGCCCATAAATAACACAGAGACAGACACTTCAACTTTATTTGTATAGACGATTTTCATAAATATTCCAACGCCACAAGATACATATACCTACTCCTAATGCCTATTTAAGGCCGGCCACATACATACGGAATTCCGTTTCGAGATTCCGTTTCGGAATTTCGAACGGTCGGCCACACACAAACGGAATCCCGTTTTGCCTGCAAAATATCGAACGGAAAACTACCGTACGTGTGTGGCGGGTCATAGATTTTATATGGACTGGCTGCATTCGGGATTCCGAATCGGAATATCGAAACGGAATTCCGTATGTATGTCGCCGGCCTAAAATGAGCTAAAATTTAGGCAAGCATTTGTACAATTTACAGTGAATAAGCTATCCAAAGTTAAACGTGCTGCCTGCATTGTTAATATAAACTAAGGTGATATCACAAAGTTATTAGTTTCGAAAATATTGTACATTAGTAAAGTAGAAAAAGTAAAGTTACAGTCTATATACGTCACACTGCTGGGCACAGGGCTCCTCTGATTCCTGAGAGGGTTTTAGAGCAGGAAGTGTCCGCCGCGTTGCCCCAATGCGTGTTAGCGAACTTCACATGTATTCGAAATATTTTTTCTTACTTCTCAGACGTGCAGGTTTCCTCACGATGTTTTCCTTCACCACCTAGCACATGGTAAATCAGCACTTAAAATTGCAATTAACTATTGCAATATAAAGCCAGTATTGAGCCGTGATAGCTCAGATACGTACGCGAGCAACCCGTGTTCGAGACCAGTATCACTGCGACCTAAAAGATCTATTGTGATCGCTGCTCGATGAATATAAGGAGTTGCTTAGCTGGGAGTAATTTCACTTCTTCTGGGCGAAATACATAGTTTCCCAGATGAGTGTTACGTTTGTGCATTAAGGGTTTATTTTTTAAGGGTCCGCAATTAGTCATGATATGTAAAGTCGTATCCTCCTCTAGGGAGCAAAACCAACACATTCTTGAGTTGGTTAGTCCCAGGATGGACATGTGCTTTTTAAGACAACAGTGTCCAGTCAGGGCTCGTACCAGAACGCGCAATTTATTTTTACCTAATCCTAGGGCTTCCGAAGCGAATTTACGATCGTAAGCCCGGGTTTTAGAATGTTTTAAGCCTCGTGTATCAGACCAGATCTTAAGTGATTTATTGTGGTAAAGAGTTTCCAGGGTCAATCGGGCGAGGTTTTTTGAGATTCCACAAAATGGCTCGGGTCCAAATTGTGTACTCTTTGAGCCCTCCCGTGCGAGCTTGTCGACAATTTCATTGCCTACAATACCCGTGTGAACCAGAACCCATCATAAAACGACCTTTTTGTTACCTCCCAGGGCGTTTAGACGGTTCACGCATTCTCCAACTAGCTTCGAGATCACCAAGTTTGATCTCAGCGCTAGCACTGCTGCTTGACTATCAGAGTTAATATACTTAGATTATATGGTTAACGTAGTGTTTTTGCAGATTGATTTCCGCACACCGAAGTATGGCGAACATTTCTGCCTGGAAGATAGAGGTGAATCAACCCAGATTCATACTAAGTTTGAATTTGGAGCATTCTCCATAAATTCCAAAGCCTACGTTCAGGCCCATTTTTGACACATCGGTATACCATATAAGGCTACGGACCTCACAGATGACTTGTCCATTCAGCCAGTCTTTTCTGGAGGGTAGTTCCACTGTATACTTATTTTTAAAAGTATATGGTGGACGCATGATATCTGAGAACAAGCATAAGTCGGTGTTTCCTTAATTGAGTCGAGCATGGATCTCAATCTATAGGAAAGCAAACTCAAACCATCCTGAGCGTTAATCCTATACAAACTAGCCCTCGCCTCCTTGTCTAAGTAAAGATCAAGGGGCGTTAGACATAGAAGTGCATTAAGAGCCGCTCCCGGCGATGTTCGCATCGCTCCAGTTGCCATTAAGCAGGCAGCACTTTGTAGACTATTTAGTCTGTCCGCAGTCGTCTTTTGGTTGGCCTTATTACACCAGACAGTGGAGGCGTAGGTATGAATTGGCCTCACTATACTGCTGTACAACCACAGGATCATACTGGGACGCAAACCACAATTGTTCCCGTCCTAAAGTGCTAAAGTGAGATTTCCACGTTAGTTTTTGGTCGTTTGTTACGTCCAAGTACTTACATAACATTAGTGAATAATGGTACGTCTTTACCATTAAGTTTGGTGTGACTAATTTGTCCAACCGTTTATTTTTGGTAAAGGGTATTATAATAGTTTTATCAGCATTAACTGATAAACTGTTATGCTTACACCAGTAGTTTATGGTGTTTAGGGCCCTTTGTATGATAAATGATAAAGTACTTTGGCAAAAGGCCCTCGCAATAATCACAAGGTCATCAGCATAACCCAGTATGTCAATGCGAAGGTCTGATATCTTGTACAATAATTGGTCAACTGCAAGAGTTGAAAAGAGGGTTGACAAAAGAACTCCTTGTGGACAGTCTCTTTTAGTTGCAACGTCAATGAAAGTTTGAAACAGCGCTATTTTTGTGTTTCTGTTTGAGAGCATCGACTTGAGGGTTTTGGGGTCAATATTTTTAGATGTCAGAGCCCCAACCAGCAATGATGTAGGGCCACTGTCGAAAGCGCCCACAATGTCTGGAAAGGCAGATAGAGCATTTCTTTATCCTCCAGCGCTTTCAATGCTGTCAATAACACTGATCAGGGCTGTTTCCGTAGATTTGCCTCTGCAGTAAGCACGTTAGTTGTAGTATATAGGTCTCGTAGCTAGAGCTACATTCCTAATATATCTATCTATAACCTTTTCCAACGTCTTAAGAAGAAAGGAAGAAAGGCTTATATGTCTAAAGGACTTTGATAAAGCGTAGTCATTTAGGTATACTTCACAGTTGTCCATCGTTCTGGAATATATCCTCATGCAAAACTTGCACTGAAGATGTTCACCAGATAAGAAAGAAGGTTATCGATACCCCCCTGTAGATGGATGGGCATTATTCCATCCTCCCCACATGTCTTATATGGTTTAAAGGAGTCAACACCCCACTGCACCATGTTTGACCTTATTATCTTTGCAGACCTCATTACAAGGCCTCCGTAGGGCTCTGAAAGAGTTCGAGGCTAGAGTCTTATCATCTTATCTGACCCTGGGAAATGGGATTACGCTAGTAGCTCCAGTGTTTCCGTTTCACTATAAGTGAAGTTATCATCAGGTTTTTTTAAAATCCCGATCTGATTAGATTTAGCTTTCGATAGCATTTTGTGTAGTCTTGCACTGCGAGGCAAAGATTCAACTTCCTCGCATAGTTTCCTCCAAGATGCTCTCTTAGTTTTCCTGATTTCTTTATTATAATCGGTTAGGGCCGCACTATAAATATCCCATTCTTTGGTTTTTTTAGCCCTATTGAATAGTTTTCTGTTTTTTTTTTCTAAGCTATTTTAGCTTATTGTTCCACCAAGGAACTTTTCATGTTGAGGTCTTGATTTTGACGGGACAACTGTCCTCGAAGGCTTCACGGATACCTACGGTAGCCGTCTCAGCCGCTAACTCCAGACCTTTAATCGTTTTTATGCTTTTAGGAAACGTTTCTAAATTCCTCATTAGACTATCTCTGTAGACATCCCAGGAGGTCGCTTTTGGATCCCTAAAAGCAATAGTTTCATGATGATGGTGATGCTCTAATCAGTGTTACTGTGTCAGTGATCACATATCGATTTTTCACTGCCAACATGGCCAGTCAGTAATCCGCCTGGATATGTTATTAGTAGCAAAGGTTATATCTAAAACTTCCTGCCTAGCATGCGTTACAAAGGTTCGTGTACACCCTAAGTTTAGGCTTACCAGGCGATTGGATATGAGAAAGTCAAAAAGTAACTCACCTCTTTCGTTAATGCTAGTGCTTCTCCATGCTGTGTGGTGAGCATTAGCATCACATCCCACCACAACTTCGGCGTTGTGCTTACGGACGAATTCCGCCACTCGCTCTAGCTCGATGGCAGGATATGGGTTCTCTCCGGTAAGATAGGCTGAGCAAATGATTACTCTGGCCGCTGTGCATCCCTTGAGATTTATAAAGGCTATAACCAGGTCGTTATTGCAATACTCTGGAACAACTAAAAGTCCAATATTTTTATTGTAGATTATACAAGCTCTGCGTTTGCTGTCTTTAGTATTGAATAAGATATTACCGGTAGCTGACAATACCAGAACTTGACCGTTGGCCACCTAAGGCTCTTGCATGAGGGCGAGGTCAATGTTGTCGTCTGCGAAGCAAACCTCCACCACGGCAGAAGCAGCTCCTGCACGATGAAGATTTTCCTGGAGGACCCTCGACCCTTGGCGTTAGCCATTTATACGCGTCCTCGGACCGAGGCGAGATCAGCGCCTTGGGTCTCAGTCACTCTCGCTGATGACGTTCCAGTCTCACCCCTCAAGGTGGAGGGCTGGGGGAATTGGAGTTAGGGCGGTTCAGGCTCCATTGCTGCGTCAGAGCCTCCCCTGACCTTAAACCTCCGCCGATGGGTCGTACATAGAAAAGGTTACTAGGAACTCATTCTCCTCGTCCCTACGGTGGAGGATTTTCCAAAGCTCGGTATGGAGCCCTTCATTTTGTGCTCTCAACAGCCTAGCCGCCTCCTCTGGAGAATCAGCTTCGCTGCTGGGCAGGAAGGTAATGCCCAGTTGAGACTTGGGCAGTTCGCTCTCGAGTATTATTGAGAGTTCTGCCTCCAGCCAGGGTTTTAGTTTTCCGATCTCACCCTCAATCCAGTCCTGGCTTGCCTTATTCAAGCGTGTTACCAGAATCTAACCTGGCTTGTGGGTGAAACCCGAAAATTTCGGTCCCATTACGGACTGCGCTCCACAGTCCGTCTTAGGGATAGCCTGCGTTAATACCCGGTGGACCAGTTGTATCTGCTCCACGCTCATAGGATTCGAATTCCTACACGCACGGAGCCAGCTACGGCACTCAAGCCTATCTTCTCCTCCTCCGTTGCCAGCTTCACAGATTTCCTGGGCTGGTTTTTGGGGGACTTCTCCTCAGATCGACTGTGTGTTTTCGTCTTCGGAACGAGGGGAGGTTTGGGCAGAGGAATTTTGTTCCAGGACTTCCGGCAGAGAAAGAGGGCCTCTTCGGCTCCTATCTCAGCTGCTATCAGCCTTCGGTACCTCTTCCGTGCTGCCCCACTAAGCTTTGATTCGTTTCCGACTGTGGTTCGGCTGCAGACGTGCCCTCCACTTCTCGACTCATCCCAGGTTGGGGCGTAGAGTTGCAGGGTGTGGGTGAGGCTAAAAGAACCTCTTCCAGATTTACAGACAGTTCCACTGAAGGAGTTTATTATTTTGTTCAAATGTCGAGCTTCGTTCAATTTGGTGCCACGATTAACTAGGGAAAAATTCGGTCACCCCCGGCAGAGACCAAGGGCTAAAATACTACCCGACTCGCCCTGGTCTCGGGTGGGCACCGTTAGCGACTGGACTCCCCCTCAGTCACGCATCCATCGGCAAGGTATGCTTAGCACCTTGGATTGGGTTTGTTATGTACACGTCAATAAAAGGCAGAGATCTGGTAACGACTGTTTTATTGAAAACTTAAATTAACCCACATTATATTATTATATGCTCCATTACGTCCAATAGTGAGTAAGATCGATTCGCCAACTTACGGATTGGCTCAACACTTAGCGAAAATACTATCACCACTCAGAGGACAGAGGACACACAAGAGCACATAGTAAGTATTCATACCATTTTGTCTGTGAGATCAAAGACCTATGTCTTACTGACAATGAAACCATGGTCATTTTTGATGTTCAGTCTCTATTTACATACCTACCTGTTGAAGACTGCATCTCAATTGTAACTAGAAATTGTTTGTACGTGGTAGGGCCATGCTGCAGCTATATTAGTAGTATAGTTGTAGCACGAATGAGTCGGCTCGACCGGGGAAGGACCACGCTCTCACAGAATACTAGCGTCAAATAGCAGCTTACGAGTAACACTGCTGTATTTCATATGGTGAGTGTAGAGACCCGGAGACCCTTTTTACTGGAAACGAGGCATTCCATCTTAGTCCTAACGGGTGGCAACGCATCTGCATTTTGATTCGCAAACGAGGATAAATGTAGATGTCTATGGGCCACAGCAACCACTTATCATCAGATGTACTGTGTGCTCGTTTGTCACCCTATTCTATAAAAAAAAAACTATAGGGAAACAACATGCCAGCAGATTATGCAGTATTACTCAGACATTGCCTTACATCTGGTTATCTGTTGTGGAAGGAAGAGTTTTACAAGCAAGTAGATGGTGTTGCGATGGGCTCACCGGTATTTCCCATTGTCGCCGATATTTTCATGGAGTACTTTGAGAAAGCCCTGCTTACTGCACCTGTAACTCCAAGGTTCTGCAAGCGGTACGTAGACGATACTTTCACATTTTTACCATCAGACATATATCATACATCTTAATTCCATAAACTCTAAAATTCAATTTACTATGGAGTTAGAGGCAAATAATTCTATAGCTTTCCTAGATATATTCGTCATTCGAAATCCTAACAGCACCATAGGTCACATTGAACCTATATTTAAACGGTGAATCCCACCATCATCCTTCACAGTTAGCTACCGTGGGCAAATCTTTGTTACAGAGAGGACGAGGGATCTGTGACAGGAAACACCTGGCGGCCGAGCTTTAGCTCGTCAAGCGGGTTCTGCACGACAACAAGCTTCGGGTCCCGCGCCTACGTCACAGTGACCGAGTGAAGCCGGCCACAGTCGAGCGTGTGCCTGCTACCCTACACTACCATACCGTACACTACCATATATCAGAGGTGTCACGGACAAGATTGACTAAATCTTGAAGCGAGCTATTAGAACATTCTTCAAGCCGCCGAAGAAGATTAGTCAGTTCTTACCATCCGTCAATTGCAATATTTCTCTACAAGATGCAGGAGTATACAAGCTTGATTATGAATGTGGTCTCTCATATATAGGGCAAACAAAGCGATCTATCAAAACCCGCGTAAAAGGACACATAGCTGATGTGAAACACCAACATTCCGGGAAGTCTGCAGTTTGTGATCATATCCTAGACGGCCCCCGCCAATACATTAGATTTGATAAATCACAAATTCTAGCGAAAGGACATTGATTCCTGCCAAGGATGAGATGATCGTGAGGCTATTGAAATTAAAAAAACATCCTAATTTCGATAGAGGGCTGGGTGCCCTCTGCTTGGAATCCTGAAAAATGAATCCTTAAAATCCTAAAATTAAAAGAGACAAGACACAATATGTTCATTCTGCGTACATCGGCCAAAAATTAATAATTAAAAAGCTGAAGGTACTCCAGGTGAACTCTAACATCGCGACGTCAATCACCTCAGTCCCCCGTGACCCCTATGGTCAGTGCTGGTAGGTATAATTTTAAGCGATTACAACATAATCGATTTAATTGGTAATACAATTTTGCAGCTAGAATGGGACAGAGGGACAGAACAATTGACATGGTGAGATCGTAGCATAATATACTAGTATCAAGTAATCATGACAGTGACAAGGAATCGCCGTGTAGTTCTCATATAAGAATACCCACAACGCCATACAGTTTCGTGGGTGTCATAAGAGGTGACAGGGGGAAACAAACCAGGAAATGGGCAGCTTTCATATAATTTCAATAACAATTAAAAATAGAAAACTGCGGTTGCCAACCCACCTGCCAAACTATTGCAAGTATGACCCTTATGAAGCAATATTAGGGGAGGCCTATGGTTTTGATAGGCTGTAATGAATGAACACCTTAAATCAAGGAGTTGCTCTGTATTTTCAAGAATATTAACATAATATAAAAAATACAAGGTGTTGGTTTTTGACAGCTCAATAGCTCTATGGGTAAACGTTTGGCTACGGCCACGCGTTCGATATCGGCACGAAACAAGTACCCATCTCTTTAAGTTTAAGTACTATCTTTTTCTAAAGAATACTAGCAGTCTTTAGTACTATAATAATCCTTACTAAGCAAAAATTGTTTAATAAGGGTTATTATACTACTAAGAGTATATGATTGATATAGTCCTCCTCATCTATTTCGATGATGGCGACCCAAGAAATTAAGATATTTTCCTATCATAAGCCCTGATATGGCTTGTTAGGCCGAATTTGGTATTAAAAGCTCTCTGACGTGCGTGGCAGTAGAGTTGTCCAGTCGAGTTGTAGGTGTATGTGTAGGAGGACCTAGCTCTCTCTTTGCGCAGTTGGCGTTTTGCGTCTAAAGTCTTGAGGCGGCTTTCTTCGAATGATTTTACACTTTTGAAGATGGTCGACCGCCAAGATGACCTTTCTGCTGCAAGCTCCTCCCAACACGCCGGGTCGATAGCGCAAGCGTTAGGTGTCTTTTGAACACATCCTTATAGCGCAAATGCTGACCACCGTGCTTTCGTTTACCTTCCGCCATCTCTGAGTAGAAAATAACTTTTGGTAAACGTCGGTCATCCATGCGAAGGACGTGCCCACACCATCTGAGCTGACGTAGCATTAAAAGAGCTTCCATACCGTACATCCCAAAGCGACGCAGAACCTCAGAGTTGGGAACATGGTCCTGCCACTTGATCTTTAATAGAGTCCTTAGACACCTTAGGTGGAAAGAGTCAAGTTTCTTTATGTCTGATTTGTAAAGACACCATGCCTCTGCGGTATATAAAAGGACAGGAAAGATAAGTGCCTTATAGACACTAATCTTTGTATCCAGCTATAGATCCTGAGACTTCCAGACAATCAGTGAGTCACCCGAAATTAGCAACAGCATTAGCAATACGACATAGTATCTCCGAAGCTAAGGTGTTGTCACACCGGATATTGCTACCAAGATATTTAAAGTGGGCGGCCTCATCTAGTGGTTCCCCATCTAGATTTAGCACTGTTGGATCATCTTTATCACCCCTGAGTGGTAAATTTGAGACTTGAGTCTTAGGAGCGCTTATTACTAGGCCAAATTGTTGACATAATCGATATAATGCGTCAACGTAGCTTTGGAGATGCACCATACTATCTGACAAGAGGCACACGTCGTCAGCGTAAAGAATATCTAATATGGAGTCTTTGGACTTTAGATTTTGCTCTGAATCTAGAGATATCAAACACATCTTTTTCAATTCTGACATTAAGCTGGATTTGATTGCTACAACGCGTCTACTATGCGTCTCTCATAACAGCCGATATATGGCGAAGAGTGTTGGCGATATGACGCATCCTTGCTTTACCCCACTTGTGATTTCTATTTCCTCAGAAAGTTAGTATTCGTGCTGAACTTGCGCTTTCATACCAACGTGGAATTGGCGAATTAGGTTGACTAACTTCTTTGGATATCCAAATTTTTTAAGAACAAGCCAAAGTGCTTCACGTGGAACTCTATCAAATGCTTTCTCCAAATTGACAAAGCACATGTATAGGAGCCGTTGATGTTCAAGGCTTTTCTCCTGGAGTTGTCTTACGACAGCAATAGCATCAATGGTGCCTCTGCTTGGACGTAAACCACATTGACTCTCTGGAAGGAATTGTTCTGCTACCACACTTGCTGCCCACTTGATGCCCAATTCCCCCCCCCCCCCCATCAACATGGTAGCGGAATTACGTCAAAAACTACCCCAGGAGGGTACCAGTACCCCTGGAGAATCCCTCGCTGAGCATCCACGACCATGCTATTCCACTCCTGAGCGTGGGTGCTCAGGCTGCCCCGCGTATTCTGGGGGGGGCAAAATTCCGCTCAACACAATAACTGCTCGGGGCAAACTGAGCAACAAGACCAAGGCGACCCCTGCCACGCTATCCGTGGATTTCTGCAACATCAGGGGACTTCACTCGAACCTAAACGCCGTCCACTACCATCTTGAGACGGCGAAGCCGGCCTTGCTCTTTCTGACCGAGACGCAGGTGTCCTCTCCGGCTGATACTTCGTATCTCTCCTGCCCGGGGTACAAATTGGAGCACTCCTTTGTGCCTCGGGCTGGAGTTTGCGTGTATGTCAGAGAGGACATCTGTTCTCGACGCCTCGGCAGTCTTGAAGGTTCGGACCTGTCCATCCTTTGGCTACGCGTAGACAGCGACGACCATCCGCGCGTCTACGTGTGCCTCTATAGGTCCCATAGCGGTAATGCCGAAACAGACCGACTCATCGACCACGTCCAAATGGCTACAGATTCCTTGCTACAACAGGTCCCATCCGCAGAGATCGTGATCCTTGGCGATTTTAACGCCCACCACGCCGAATGGCTCGGTTCACGTTTAACCGATCATGCGGGGAGATCTGTTTATGACTTTGCCTTGGCATATGGTCTGACACAACTGGTTACATCGCCTACGCGGATTCCAGATGTTGAGGATCATACACCTTCCCTGTTGGACCTTCTGCTGACCTCTCATCCGGACGGATATCAGGTTTCCGTCGATGCCCCTCTTGGCTCTTCGGACCATTGTCTGATCCGGAGTGTGGTGCCACTCACGCTCCCCTCGCGGTTGCGTTCTGCAGGTTGCCGCCGTGTTTGGCATTACAGGTCGGCGGATTGGGACGGAATGCGGTCTTTCTTTGCTTCCTACCCATGGGGGCGGGTTTGCTTCTCGCCGGATGATCCCAGCGCTGTTGCTGACTCTGTCACTGATGTAGTGCTACAGGGAATGGAACTATTTATTCCATCATCTGTGGTACCCATCGGAGGCAGATCTCAGCCTTGGTTTGGTCGCTCCTGTAAGACTGCATTACACAGTAAGCAGGAGTGTTATCAAGCCTGGGCTGCGGCTTCGGTGACTCGGGATGTAAACACCAGCACACTCAAAAAGAAGTATAACTTCGCCTCCAGGTCCTTCAAAAGAGTTATTGCCAAGGCAAAGTCAGAGCACATAGGCAGAATTGGCGAGAAACTAGTTCGCCTTCCTTCGGGAACCCGTGCATTCTGGTCTCTCGCCAAGGCTGTCCAAGGGAATTTCTGTAAGCCATCACTACCATCTCTGCACAGGGAGGACGACTCACTGGCCCACGACGCAAAAGAGAAGGCCGACCTTTTAGGCTCCCTTTTTGCGTCCAACTCGACTGTTGATGACGGGGGGAACACACCGCCGACCATCCCGCGGTGTGAGTGCTCCATGCCGGATGTGCGATTCTCACAGCGCTCGGTTCGCAGAGCACTCCTCTCCCTTGACATCCACAAGTCGAGTGGGCCTGACGGAATCCCCCCAATTGTGCTGAGGACGTGTGCTCCGGAGTTGGCACCGGTTCTAACGCGTCTTTTCCGGTACTCCTACTCCCTAGGCGTAGTCCCGAAATCATGGAAGACAGCTTTTGTCCACCCGATCCCTAAAAAAGGCGACCGCTCAGATCCGTCCAACTACAGGCCTATCGCCATCACCCCCTTGTTCTCCAAAATAATGGAATCCGTTGTAAACTGCCACCTCATGCGGTACCTTGAGGATCACCAGCTGATTAGTGACCGCCAGTACGGTTTTCGTCGGGGTCGATCAGCTGGTGATCTTCTGGTCTACTTAACTCATAGATGGGCGTTGGCAGTAGAGTCCAAGGGGGAGGCATTGGCCGTTAGTTTGGACATTGCGAAGGCCTTCGATCGGGTTTGGCACAAAGCGCTTCTTTCGAAGCTCCCTTCCTATGGGCTTCCCGAGAAATTATGCAATTGGATCACCAGCTTTCTTGCAGATCGGAGCATCAAGGTCGTTGTAGACGGTGCATGCTCCGACTACAAGCCTATTAACGCTGGTGTTCCACAAGGCTGCGTGCTATCACCAACGCTGTTTCTTCTGCATATCAATGATATGTTGCAAGCTGGTAGCATTCATTGCTATGCAGATGACAGCACTGGTGATGCTCTATACACCGGCCGTGCCAATATTTCTCGGGAAAACGTCACCGAGTACCGGAACAAACTTGTGTCTGAAGTCGAGTCTTTGCTGGACAAAGTCTCGGATTGGGGGCGACTAAATCTAGTCCAGTTTAATCCTCAGAAGACACAAGTTTGCGCGTTAACCGCTAAAAAGAACCCCTTTGTCGTATCTCCTCAGTTTCAAGGTACTCCCCTTGTTGCCTCAGCCAGTATCGGAATCCTCGGCGTCGACATATCGAGTGGCGTGCAGTTTCGTGGTCACTTGGAAGAGAAGGCCAAATTGGCCTCTAAAAAGCTTGGCGTGCTCAGCAGAGCGGGACAGTATTTCATGCCGGCTCAACGCCTGCAACTTTACAAGGCGCAGGTTCGGCCTCACATGGAATACTGTTCCCATCTCTGGGCTGGGGCTCCCCAGTGCCAGCTTCTTCCACTTGACCGCATCCAGCGCAGAGCGGCTCGAATCGTCGACGACCGAGTCCTTTCCGATCGGCTCGACTCATTGGCACTGCGAAGAGATGTTGCATCTCTTAGCATTTTCTTTCGCATTTACCATGGGGAGTGCTCTGAGGAATTGTTCGGATTAATCCCAGCCGCCAAATTTCACGAACGCACATCGCGGCAGAACTCCCGATACCATCCACACCATCTGGATGATTGGCGGTCCACCACTGTGCGATTTAGAAGATGTTTTCTTCCTCGCACAACTTCCTTGTGGAATAGTTTACCACCAGCGATTTTTCCGGACCGATACGACTTAGGGACCTTCAAGAAAAGAGCCTACTCCTTTTTAAAAGGCCGGCAACGCATCTGCAATTCCCCTGGTGTTGCGGTTGTTCATGGGCGGCGGTAGTCACTTACCATCAGGTGAGCCGCATGCTCGTTTGCCCCCTCTCCTATAAAAAAAAAAAAAAAAAAAAACACTTAGGCGGGCGTTAATTATGTGCGCAAGAATTTTAGCGGCGCTGGAAAGAAGCGATAAGCCTCGGTAAGAGCTGCAATCGTAGATATCCCCCTTCCCTTTGTACAGCTTACAAATAACCGCATCCTTCCAGTGCAGAGGCACCTCTTCACTATCCTACACTCTTAAGGCAAGATGATAAAGCCTGTTAAGAACATGTTTTCCGCTGTATTTATATATTTCGGCTAGAAGTTGGTCCATTCCGGGTGTTTTTAAGTGTTTGAGACGCTTGTCTGCCTTTACGAACTTATCGACAGTTGGTGGATCATCTAGATGTTGGCAAACCGACAGTTCTTCAAGCGAGTTTATATAGGACAGGTTAGCACCGAGCGTACGGATTTCAAAATATCATTAAAATGTTCTGCCCACCGTTTTATTACGTCATTTTATCTGTAACTCGATGTTGCTTGTTCCTTGAGTACAGTGGGGCTGATTTTCTGACTCGCGGACCGAAAATCGCTTGAATGCCTTCGAATAATTTGCCAGTTTGTTGAGTATCGGCTTACTACTGTAATTCAATAGATTTTTCCTTCCACCACTTATCATTCAGTTCACGAACCTTAGATCTAAGTTGGTGTTGAGCTTCCTTTTTTCTGTTGGCATCCGTTGACTTGGAGTTCAGTTCATGTCTGTACTTTTCAACAAGCATTCTGATGTTGTTATCTGATGTATCAAACAAATTTTGGTTTTTTTTTTCTGTGGTTTGCCAGTCTGTGCAGTATTAACAGCAAAGACATGAAGATGCTTAGCAAATGATCGCCACTCCTCATTTGTCGTGGAAAATTCAGTTTGTGGAACACAAGCAGCAAATTTTGAGTCTAACTTATTACCTAACTGTGGGGAGGTAATAAGTGTTGAAAATGCCAGTTTAGGTAGAATTTTGTGAGGTGCTCGCAGTGCAGCTTTAAGCTCTAGTTTCATCTTCGATCTAATGAGACGATGATCAGTCCAGCCCTGCGCTCCACGCATCGCTCTCCTTATAAGAACATCGCGTAAGTCTTTACGGCGGACGATGAAGTAGTCTAAAAGGTGCCAGTGCTTAGATCTAGGGTGCATCCACGAGGTCTTATACTTATCGGCAAGACGGAAAAACGTATTGGTGATACTAAGATCGAACTGCGCAATCCACGTTGTCGTTATATTTACCAACGCCATGTTTGCCAATGACACCACTCCAGAGATCATGATCGTTGCCGATACGAGCGTTAAAGTCCCCCAACAAAATGATCTTATCGTGACTTGGAACACGTTCGAGAGTTTGGCAAAGTTATTGTTACAAAGCTGTCTAGACGTTAAATCAATAAAAATATGCAACGGTGTCACAAAAACATTTCCTTAGATAAGAAGTGGGATGCGAGATGTAACTGTGTAACAACCTCCGAAGGAGGCAGAGTTATAGCCGAAATAAGAATTTTTAATTTTTTGCATTCTGGCCATTTTGACCCCTAAGAGAGTAATGAGAACTTTTTTCCCCTATTTAACCATGACCCCCATGACATCCTCTACATGATAGGCTATTCAAACTGAGTAGGCCTAAAGTTTGAGTCACCCCCCCAACTCATTTCTAATGTCTTTACTTCAAATACTGTCATAACATTATATTTAACCAATATTCCTCGTAATAATTTATATTTCTATACAAGATACAAACTAATTACTTCTTTACAAAACTAGTTGCATTCCACAGCTTCACCTGATTTGTGGCGATGCAAACAAAGGATTGTGCTGGTAACTACCTAATTTTACAATACTTTACCTATGTAGCAGTATCTCAGGTATTCCGTTTAAAATATTAGATAGGGGGTTGAACAGAATAAATACAAGTGGTAAAATTAAAAAATTTATACAACTAACTTCAATATAAATTATTAAGGATAACTCAAAAATTACTGGTCAGACCTTGATCAAACCAAAGCGTGCAAAGGTAGTACGAAGCATACGAAGCACAACTACACTAGCTGTAGTTTGTGGCATTAAAATACTTCTAACCATTTACTTGTAGAATCTATGATTCATCATCATTACAGCCCTTCACAAGTCCACTGCTAAACATAGGCCTCCCCCAAAGAATGCCACAAAGCACGGTCCTGAGCCACCTGCATCCATCGACTTCCTGCATATCTTACCAGGTCGTCACTCCATCTAGTGGGGGGACGCCCTACACTTCGCCTGCCGGTACGAGGCTGCCACTCGAGAACCTTTCTTCTCCATCGGTTGTCGGTTCTTCGAGCTATATGGCCGGCCCATTGCCACTTCAGCTTACTAATCCGTTGGGCTATGTCGGTCACTCTGGTTCTACTGCGGATATCCTCATTTCTGAGTTTATCACGCAGAGAAACTCCGAGCATAGCCCTCTCCATAGCTCGCTGAGCGACCTTGAGCTTCCTCATCCGGCCTGCAGTGAAGGACCACGTTTCAGTTCCGTATGTCATCACTGGCAACACGCACTGGGTGTACAGGTCTCGTTTTCAAGTTTTGAGGTATACCTGACGGGAAGATGTGCCGTAATTTCCCGAACGCTGCCCAACCGAGTTGAATCCGTCGATTGACCTCTCGGTCGAAGTTGGACTTACCTAGTCGGACTATTTGTCCCAGGTAAACATACTCGTCAACAACTTCGAGCTTAGTGTTCCCAACAACTAGCGGCATAGGTGTGACATGGACATTAAACATGATCTTTGTTTTGTCCATATTCATCTTAAGACCTATCCGTTGGGAAACACTATTGAGGTCACTGAGCATAGTGCTTAGGTCCTCCAGCGATTCTGCCATAAGGACTATATCGTCGGCAAATCGAAGGTGAGTGATGTACTCGCCATTGATGTTGATACCGTATCCTTTCCAGTCCAGAAGCTTGAAAACATCTTTCAATGCAGCGGTAAAGAGTTTCGGGGATATGACGTCACCCTGTCTTACACCTCTCTGCAATTGGATAGGTTTCGTACTCTGGTTCTGTACTCGGATACCCATCGTAGCCCTACTGTACAAGCACTTCAACACTTCGATATACCGACAGTCAACTTGGCATCGCTGAAGGGACTGCAACACCGCCCAAATTTCGACGTAATCAAAGGCTTTCTCATAGTCCACATACGCCAGACATAGTGGCAAATTGTACTCCTCGGACTTCTGTACAATTTGCCGAAGGGTATGTATGTGGTCTATGGTGCTAAAACCTTTTCGGAAACCGGCTTGTTCGGGAGGCTGGAAGTCGTCAAGTCTGCGTGCGAGACGATTCGTAATGACTCTCGAAAACAGCACGTAGACGCGGCTTAGAAGGGAAATCGGTCTGTAGTTCTTCAAGAGAGCGTTGTCGCCTTTCTTGAAGAACAAGACCACCGCACTTCTGCTCCACGCCTCCGGTGTAATGCCACCATGGAGGACGGAATTAAAGAGCTTCTGAAGGACTTCAAGTACCGGTTTTCCACCCGCTTTCAGAAGCTCCGCTGTAATTCCATACTCGCCTGGGGCCTTGCCGTTTTTAAGGTGCTGGAGAGCCATTCTAATCTCGCTCAGACTGACGTCCGGGATATCATCGGAATAATGTCGGATAAGACTCGCTCTTGGATCGTTACTCACACTTGCGTGCGGCTCCAACGATGATGTATACAGCTGCCCATAGAACTCAAGAATTCTATGGGAAAAACTCAAAATCTCAGGTGCCCCGGAAACGATGCTGCCACATTCGGTCTTCAGCTTTGACAGTTGGCTCTTTCTGGCAGACAGATCTCTGGCAAAGACTTTGGAGCCTTGGTTCCGCTCGATCGCTTCTTCAATACGAGCTGTATTTAAATTGCGTAAGTCCCGCCGCCGCCGCAAAATGTTTTGCCTTTTTAGTAATCATAGATTCGACTGTTTTTTTTTTAATATGTGTTACCCCATAGCTTTTCTGGGTGAACGGATTTCGATGATTCTTATTTTATTGGAAAGTAGATGATTCTCATGTGGTCCCATAAAAATTAGATCAAGGTCTGATCAGTAGACGATGTTCTCATTTTATTTATATTAAAGTCGGTTGTATAAAATTTTCGATTTTACCACTTGTTCGATCAAATGACTTTACCCGAAAGAAAATATTCTTTTTATTTAACTTTTGTTTTACTCTAAAATTAAGTTTAAAATTAAGGATTTATTTATATTTTAAGCCGCACTTGTGGTTGAAAATGAATTCCTATGATCATCATCATTTTTTAAGATGTCAAAATCTCCCAAAAACTTGACAATATGTTGTAGACGTGAATAAAATCAGACTAGGCATTATGGTCTACGACTTTGCCTGGCTTACATGGCAAAACATAACAATTTATAAACAATAAACATAACCTATACCACAGAGTACATTAACCTATACAGTATACAGCATACAGTAATCTTTAACCTAATAACCTCCCTCTAATATATTTTCGCGTGATTCGTAAAAAACGGATTTATATTTCTGTAATTTGTGTTACCGATAACTAAAAGTAATTAAGAAATATGAGTCGCTCTCTTAAAGCGCTAATAGGACCTTCCATTCTTAATTCTGATTTATCTAAATTGCTTGAAGAATCTCAAAAACTACTAGACAATGGTGCAGATTATTTGCATTTAGATGTAATGGATGGTCACTTTGTGCCTAACCTAACCTTTGGCCATCCGATTGTGAAATGTTTGCATAATCATATAAAAGATGCATTTTTGGAAACCCATATGATGGTTTCTAAACCGGAACAGGTATAGAAAAAATTATTCAATAAACTTAACTGATTCACCTTGGGAATGTCATACGCACTTAAAATTCTCTGCTTGTGGCGGCGTCGTGTGAACGGTAGTCCACTTATGTTCGAGGAGGGCCATATTCGTCATACTTATGACTGCCTTGTTGATCTAATGATCGTAAACGCGATTGATGATTATGAGGTCCCGGGTTTGAATCGCGGGCCAAAAATCAGTTATTGGGTTTTAGTGTCAAGAGATTCTCAGTAGCAGCCCAATCAGGAAGAATAGAATACAATAGAATCATTTTCATTCAATATAGATTACAATATTTACCACTGATTTAGAAAAAAACCTCCGTCCTGGGAAAAACTAGCAAAAAACGAAGGAAGGGACTTCTTAAAAAAAATATTATATAATATTTTATATGTATGAAAACATTTAGAAAGTAGCAATCACCTCATTCCTAGAGGTTATTATCAATCATGTACTATAGTAGTATATTAACCCTTACCAAATAATTTTTGCTGTCTAAATTTTTTAAATGATAAGGCCTGCATAATTTTTTGAGACTGTTGTAAAAGCATAATACATTGCCCTATGAAGGAATCACTGACTCTTTGGAGTCGAGTAACTGGTATAACTGACTTGTGCTTGTTCCTAGTATTTACAGATTGTATTCTTAATAAGACTAATATTGTTTTCTTGTACATAACATTGCATTTTTGTAAATTTACTGAGGGTTTAAAGTTAATATAGCATTAAGTTAATAGTGCTTCACCACCATGCCTCAGAAAGCATGTAAAGCAATTAGTCCTGCACCTGAAATATCCAGTTGTGTCAGGTTACTGTCCCATCAACTTAGGAGAGTGAGGAAATAGAGAGTAGAGTCAATGAGTGAGTGAGTGTTTGCACATACACTCGAGCATTTTAATCCTGCCCTGCGCAGATGTCTCTGTGACCAAAATTCTGTTTATAAGGCATTTTTATTTGTGAACAGGTGTGCTTATAGGGGCTGGTCTACTCGAGTTTGCTATGCATTGATACCTCTAAATTTATAAGATGCTTTTGAATGCATCATAGAACACACTTCAGTTAGCTATGGGTCTGTTTTTGTATTCCATTCTGTTCATATGTATGTATTATTATGCCATTTGACAAAATTTTATTTTCTTACTTCAAAGAAATAAATATATTTGATTACATTTCATTTTATTTCACTGATAGTTATTTAAATACGCATTCAAAGCATTAAGAATTTAATACATATTTTTTTACAGTGGATAACACCAATGGCTGATGCAGGTGTCAATCAATATACATTCCACATTGAACCGATTACAAATGTTGAAGAAGTCTGTAGAAAAATTAGGGAACATGGGATGAAGGTGACTTTCTATTAATCAAAATACCAATTTTACAATATTTCTTTGTGTGCCTTTTTTCAGCAAACACCTAACAGTCAAACAAGCATACAGTTCTCCTGAGGGTAGACTTATGATGGTGGTAGCTAACAAATATTTCATAACATAACATATCATGAGGATTACTGATGGCATTATCAGACATAACACACCTTTGACCTTGCTCTCAGTCGTTGGTCTGGGTGTTTTATGTTTAGTATGAACAAGATGGCATAACACCATCTATTGAAAACTATGAGATTTTTCTGTTATTATAGTCGACTTTTACGACACCACCAAGATGAAATTAGTTGGTGTGGACCTTCTTACACGACTATCATCATTATTCATTAGTTCTGTTAAGTAGTACATTGCTGATAAAAACCTTTTAAATAATTTAATTTTTCACTCTTTAAATCTTCCACTCTGAATGGGGAATAAAGATATTAACACCACACACAGGTTCAATGCCCTATAATGGGTAAATGCAATTAGAATGAACTGATCTGAGTTTTTGACAGCAACCCTAGATACATGCATGTGTAGTAATTAAAGGGAAATGTTATGAGAAGTGCACTAGTAAATAGCAATCCCACCAAAAACATAAATGTGAAAAGAGGGCCAAGTTAAGTACAGTAACTATGGTGATCTGGGCACATGAGTGATTAGGAAGACTAGTATTCAACCGTTTTATATTTAATTTAATGGCTCCCATTTATAAAAAAAATAATAGTATATAGGTAAAATCTACCTACCTTACAATTTATCAAATTTGGCTTCAGTAAATAACTTTACTCCATTTGTTAAACGGAGTGTGTGGTGTTTTTTTATGTTCTTAATTTATTACCATGCTAAGAGGTACAGTCCACAATAAGTGTGATAAAATCATAGTTAAAAAATAATGCTTCAAATATTGTAATGGATGCATCAGTAATAAATTTCTGTAATCTTTGGAGGGTCACCTAGATGTCAACCAATAGGAAGGTTTTCATTGCTTCTTGTTTAGAGTACATCATTGTTATACACAAGAACATGGTAAATTTTCATTACCACAAATATACACATAGTATATTTTCGTCATCTTCCATATGCACTATACCTTCGTTCTTTCAACATGGATGCACTCATTGAGAATGTTGTCCATGTTGCTGCTTAAAATTCAATATATTCATATGTCTTTGACACACCTATATCGGGCATCTCAATCTTGACCTCTTGTGTTATCATCTTTGCAGATAATTCATTTTGCATCTCCAAAACTAGGCTTTCCAAACGTTTTCAAAACCTAACAATCATTATGTATTTGTTAGGGTTTTCTAAATTGATATGCTAGATTGTTCCATTAGCTTGTTTACATTTTAATATGGTGATTATTTTGTCATTAAAATGTTTGGGTTGCAGGGGATGACAAAACAATATAAGAATTCATGGTAAAACATTGCCCACCAGATTTTACATACAAGATTTTGCTGCCATGTTTCAAGATGTGTTTTTGCACAGAAATTAACTTGAGATGATCAGATTAGTACTGTGTAACTTTTTGTCGCTTATCTTATTTTTGTATTTATTTGTAGCAGAAACAAGCTTTAGCAATAAACTTGTCTGTTGTCTTACTGATTAGATAAGCTTGTTGCACTCGTGACTTATTTTTGTGATGACTGTGGCTTGAAACAGAAACAGAAACTTTTTTATTCAATATAGATTATAAATAATACTTATTGAAAGTCACTCTTGTTTAATTACCACTTGTTTAGAGCTTTCAATTTTATATATTTTGGAGTCTATAATATATAAAAGTGAAGGCTTAGGAATTTGATTTGAAACCAAAATAATACATAGGTAGCACTTAATTATTATCAGTTCCCTTTTTTTGGACCTCGTTAAAATTTTCCCACAGTATCCCGACCCTACATAAAACATCTTGCTGACCCCTATATAGACTGGTGTTTTACAATATATTTTTTTTAATAATAATTCTTTATTTACTTCACAAGGTAATAACTAATAATAATAATTGCATGTGAAAGTTTTGTTTTTCCTCTTCTCTACATAGCTCTGCATTTTTTCTTTTTAGTTAAAAAAAAATGTTACCTCCACACTAAGATTTCTCTTGTATCGTGCGGGCAATTTACATACATACATTTCACAAGGACAAACATCCAGACTCGGAACAATTATTTGTAAGCCATACAAATACTTGTTCCATACGGGATTCGAACCCGCGGCCTTTGGCGCTACAACTCATTGCTAAGCCACTACGTCACAGAGCCGTCAATAAAATGTTATTTTATACAATAGTTACACCCGCGCAACTTGTCCGCGTGTTCATAGGGTGAATATCTCTGTATAGATTGCACTGATTTCAATTAATTATAATTTTTTTTTCCTTTTAGGCTGGTGTTGCTATTAAACCAGGGACCCCAGTAGCTGAAGTAGAAAAATATATATCAGTTGCTGATATGGTTCTCATAATGACAGTTGAACCAGGGTTTGGTGGTCAAAAATTTATGGAAGAACAAATGTCTAAAGTTCAATATCTGAGAAAACAATATCCCTTATTGAATATTGAAGTGGACGGTGGAGTGGGACCCTCAACTATAGATTGCTGTGCAAATGTGAGTGCATTCAATACTTTGCTAATACTCATTTTTCTTGATTCACTGCTAAATATATATTTATTTATTTTTCAATTTTCTACTGACATGCATAAGTTGACAGATTTACTTACTTTACTTTCTCTTTACCACACAATAGGATTTTCTCCTGTATTGTGGAGGCAGTTTACAAACATAAATTGCACATGGACAAACATCCAGACTCGGAGCAATTATTTGCAGGCCATACAAATACTTGTTCCGGGTGGATTCAAACCCACGGCCCCCAGCGCAGCAACTCATTGCTTAAGCCACTGCGCCACGGAGCCCTCAATTTACTAAGTAGAGTTTGAAAATTGTCAACTGAATTTGAGAAAAAAGAGTATCTAGTAGTATGTAAATGATGTTTGATATAATGTGTTTAAGTTTACATTTTGATAAGCTGTTTCTCATAAAAAAATATTTTATCAACACATTGTTTCAGGCTGGTGCAAACATGATAGTGTCAGGGACTGCTGTTATAGGTGCAGAAGATCAAGCAGCAACAATTAACTTATTGAGAAATGCTGTACAAAGAGCTATAGATAAAAAATAAAATGGGCTTAATATGTAAATATTAAGAATACTCTGGTGATAATAATTGTTATATTTTAATTTTATATCATGTACTTTATAAGATTGAAGGTAAGATGTATCTATTACATCAAATCACATGATTCTAACATACTGTTAAATATTAAATACATTATAATGTAAACATAAATTGTCTTCCATAGTTTATTTTTGTACAAATTTTCATCAAAATAAAAAGAATACGCAAACATAGCTTTATTTGCATTTTCAATCAAATTTACTTAAATCTATATTGTTTTCAACACCAGGATGGTGTGATGTGTCAAACTTTTGGGATGGTAATGTTGAACTTGTAGCTATACCAGAATCTTTAAATACCCTTGGTTCATTTTCAGCCTGTAACTTATTTCTTAGGCTAGAAAGTGCAACAAGTACTGCCTCTTCAGTTCTGATTGTTCTTGACCCCTGATTAGGCAAAACATTTACATAATGATTAAACAATAAACTAGCTTCATCTACCTGCAGCTGTTCATCGCTTTCAAGAGCAGCTTCAATGCCATGCAAACCTCCGAACACTATAAGAGCATGGTTATATTTGATTCCTTTATCTGGTAGCTCATCTATAGAATTCCCTCTGTCTGATGTTCCAATAGTTAAGTCATATCTGTAAATAGAATTTAAAAAATATTGCAATTAACAAACTAGTAGATTAATAGGAAATGTGTACATAGTGCAATGACAAGACAAGTAAGTGAACCACAGCAGCACCCGGCGAAGCGTCAAAAGAAGATTTTTAAGACATTTATTAGTATCCTATCACTAAGTACTACTACATATACTAAGTACTAAGAGGAATTGGTGACACATATTCTATCTAGTGCCCTGCCCTCATTGACTTATCAAGGTGACTAATATTGTTTTTGAAGTATAACTTAAAACTGATTTTTGATACGAGTCACTCTTCCCACTCCGGCCCCCTTCCATCGTCATGCTGCAGGATAAAAAGCAACCCCGAAGCGAGAGGTGGTCAGAATCATACCAAATGCAAGTCCATATACACTGCCTACCCCTTTGGATAACAGCTGTGAGAGTTTATATATGTTTTTACAAGACATACAATATACAAATGTTGAAAGTAAACCTAAAGCATGTATATAGGTTATACATGCATAAAAATTTAACTGTCAAACTTAACAATCAACTAATGACTGGTAAGTTATAGTATACAGCTGGTATGCTGGTTCTACTATCTACGGTACTCTCCTACTTTCTATTCAAAAGACACATCAACAGGACCATTTAACCGTGCATTTAATATGACTACAGGCATAAATATGCTCAGTACAGAGAACAGATAATAAACTTTCTTTTCAACACACATATGCTCATTTACGTCAATTTATAACCTGAAGCCATAAATACATAGTAATAAAAAATAACAAATATACTTACCCATCTTTATATGGACATTGGGTAAACACCTGACTTAGGTTTGTCGCAATTCTGACAGTGTAGCCCCAGTAAACACCTGTCTCAGCTCTTGGAGTTGAAAGACTGACAATTTTTCCTTTTAACTTTTTACTTCCTTCTGGAAGAGGCATCATCTTGACAGTAACCCTAATTCCTGGATTCAATAGCTTGTCAGTGGATACATCCTGTAATAGGCCAACATTAACTTGTGAACCTTTTCCCGGCTTTACCTTTTTATTCATAGTTATGCCTTCCCTGAAAAGAAAACATGATATATATAATAATTGTTTGTTATAAGGCATTTAATTCTATAGATGAAATATAAAAGATAGATAAAATAATAATACTAGGCTAGCATATTAGCATCCCTCTAGGCCATACATATATTGTAAATTATAACTTATCATTTTGCAAATAAACTTGACTTACTCATTTTTTGACTGCCTTGTTCATCATGTTTAGTGTGAATTGTTACTGCAAATAAACTGAGTAACCAAATTTAAACACCACTCAAGTTGCTAGGGCTTTTATTTTAAATGAAACTGAGCATACCTACAAATATGCAGCTCCGGAATTTTACTAGTGCTATATTAAATTTTATATGCACCAAGCAAATATCTCATCCTCAACTCAAGGATAAGTTTGAGTATCTTTATTCCACATACAATCAAATTTCCCATTCCCAAAATAGTTGTAAGATTCATATTCAACAGTAATTCATTCATATGTAACAGTAATTTCTTTAATTCCTGTTTTACTATATTCTATTTTTCTACATTTTATTGCATCACATATACATATTACATACTCGTTTTTGTAAACTGCTACCTCAGTTTCTCAAATCATCCAGGTTAACTGGTAGAGAAAGCCATGAGGCATTAAGCACATCTTTTATTCCCTTAAAAATAAAACAAGCCTAATGGTTAAAACGGTAATTTTAAATACCTGACTCTGTAAAAAAGTTTAAAGGACAGGCAAACATTATTCATTGTACATGTCACTTTTACAACTTTATAGACAAATCTTAGGGACTTGGCTACTCCTTTTTAAAAGGTCAGCAACGCATCTGCAATTCCTCTGATGTTGCAATTGTTCATGGGCGGTGGTAGTCACTCACCATCAGGTGAGCTACATGGTCGATGGTAGGTGTATGTATCTCTTTACGGAACCGACCCACTGATACGAATCACTGAAGTGATTCAAAAGATTGGTTCAGTAACAATGTTTCAAATGCATCATTTGGATCTGGAACAGTGAAACATTACTGTGCTCATTTCGCACGACGCATCGCTTGCGAGGCAACTGAGCCACGAGCGAGAGAGACCGACAGAGACAACAACTTAACTATTGACTCGCTAGTGGCGAGTGAGTGGGCGCAATAACTATAACCCATATAAGTCAGATAGAGATAACAAATAAAAAGTGTATCACTCAAGTCCTACGGTTTCTCACTGTCGTTATTCATGCACATAAAAATTACCACTTCTATTATTCAGCATTGTAGTAATAAACGCCCGCAATGCAACTTTATGTATTTGGAACATTCTATATTTTATATCTTTTGAGTCGATGATCCAAATGAGCCAAATGAAACATATTAGTGTTTCGGAACATTTCAGTGATCGAGATGCAAATGTTTTAGTCGCAAAAATGATACACTTTGCCCACCTCCAGTCGATGGCCCCCTCTCCTATGAAAAAAATAATTAAATTTGTAAAAATCTATCAAGCCATTTACACACACAGATCATGCCAAAGAAATAGACATACATATACTCATAAAGCATTATCCTTCTTCTGTGAGGCAGTCAGCTAAAAAATAAAGGAGGTATTCCATTTTAATCCTCTGGGATTACAATGCATACAATCATTAAGTAGGTGCCTTTAGATCATATCATCTACTTACCATCAGGAGAACTGTGTGTGCCTTTATCACCCCTACTCTGACAAAAAATAATATGCAGTTTATATGAACTTAGTTCCTCACCTAAATTTAAAATCATTGGACATCCTTAAATGGTGAGGTGCATCTAAGGGGTTTAACAGTCCGGCAAATTCCAAGTCCTTGTGTAAAGGGAAAAAATGTTTTCTTAAATATTGAGGGCATTCCAAATATTGAAGAATACGTGCCAACTGCACACAACTTTTGCGAGCTATTTTTATTCCATCAACATCTTCTAATTTTGATTTTTTTGTGTTAATCTTATCTCCAACATCATCATACACAATTACTTCATCAACACAGAATATACAAGCTGCTCGAGCAATTTGTCCTGCCAAATATGTACGCAATTCAGCAGACTGTGCATTCTCTAATATGGATCCAGGAACAGCTATACTAATCGTTGAGATTTCCGAATTTTTCTTTTCCCTTTCGACTTCCTCTTTAGCTTTCAGTTCTAAATCTTTTTCTAAAGCTAACCTCTTCTCGCGCTTTATTATTTTTTCTTCGTTTCTTTGACGTTTTAATGCCTTTCTCTCTTGATTTACTTCTCGCCAACTCTTTCCTGGTGGTTTTGTAGATACTAAAGGTACAGACATTTCATAGAACACTTCAAAATTCAATACAAACTTTTTATCAACAATATACCATGTGATTATGTTTTAGTTTTAGTTTTAGCCTGCGCTAACACAACACTTCGTTTAGCATTTCATCCATAGATAAATCTCATCACTAACAAAATGAAAAAATGCTAAAAAGCATAGATTACTGTTAGCGATGAGATGAGGTTATGAGTCAACTCTAGGGATGTGAAAAAATAATCGATTTTCATATTAATCGATTATTATTTCTTATAATCGATTTTTGAAAGTCGATTTTTATTATAAAAATCTATTCTTAATAAATCGATTATGTAAATTACGTGTTTTAATCGATTTTTGTAATCAGCGTCATCTTTGCGATGGATTTAAAAACGTGAAGTTCAATATCATGAATAAGTCGATCAAAAGAACAGCGTCATCTGTGCGACAGATGAAAAAACGTGAAGTAAGTTCACTAACATGAACAAGTCACCAAAAGACGGCGCCACCTGTATGTATATCTATGTATGTAAAATAGTTTCGCCTTTTGTATGTTTTCAATAATTTTCTTTCTCCGCTAGGAATAAAAGTATTCTGGGGTTTTCTTTCTTTCTTTAGAGAGTGTAAATAATTGTTAAACAATAAAAATGTCTTGTAAAACGCCTAAAAGTGGCTGACGGAAGGAAGATAGGCAAAAATACTGAATTGGACCTATATATTGCGGCATCACTATCAAATCTCAAGGCAAATGCCCTCAATACATGGAGCTCTGAAGAAACTTTCCCTAAAATAACCGAATTGGCTCTTAAACACGTCTTTGTGATGGCCAGTTCCGTGCCAGCGGAAAGATTATTTTAGAAAGCGGGAAATATTGTCAGGAAAAAACTTTTTTTTTATAGTACAGGGGGCAAACGAGCACACGGCTCACCTGATGGTAAGTGACTACCGCCGCCCATGAACAACTGCAACACTAGGGGAACCAGGGGAATTGCAGATGTATTGCCGGCCTACGTAACTGTATTTTACAAAACAGACGAAGAGGAATGTTGGTAAAATTATTGTTTTTAGACTCTTTAACTGAAAATTCATGGCAATATTTTGTTTTACTTTTTTTGTTTACACAAGTTTAAAAAAATATTTGTCTTGTATTTTAGTTTTGAGACCAAAAGGTTGTCGTTTGATTGTTTATAATTATATTTTTATTTTATTTTCATTCCAGTCCAATCAACGTTTTATAGCACAGATAAAGGAAAAATTGCGAAGAGTTTAAATTTTTAGTTACATTATATAATAAAAATATTTTTAATAATTTTAAACTTATATACCTACAGATTTGTTCGGAACCCTCGGTGCGCGAGTCCGACTCACACTTGGCCGGTTTTTTTATTGTTAAAAGTTATAGGTTAAAAAAATTGTTTTGTAGTTTAGTTTTGAAACCAGAAGATTGTCGTTCTGATCATTTTTTATACTTATCATTTTATTTTATTTGATTTATATTCTGATAAATTGTTAATGCAATATTAATATCGTAGTATTATTAACATATAGGAAAGCAGGCATTTTTTCGAATAAAAGATTTTTTTTCAATTCAAAAATCGATTATTTCTTCTAATAATAATCGTTTTTTTCTAAATCGATTAATATTACAAAACAACTATTCGATTTTTTATTAATCGATTTTTTTGAATCTCCCTAACTTTGAGTTTGGGCTGCTGTACGTGATCGGATCAAGTGAGTCAGCAAAAGAGTAAGAACGCGATTCGTTCGTTGTGTGCGCACTTTGTGTTTCAAAGAGTATTTAGGTACAACCAAAACAATTTGTTATTTAAAATTTTATAATAGCTAAGTTATGTAATTTAATTTCTTTTATAATTTTGATTAATTATGATCAATGTAGTTATGTACGTCACAAACTTATTATTAATTTAAACCTATTGTATTTCCTGAAAATGGTAATAAGTTGTAAGATACATCATATTTTAAATTAACGCTATATGTAACACTAAGCTTACAGTAAATATTTAGAATTTGAATTTATTTAAGAATATTTTGACTGTGATAAATAAATTATTAATAGCTTATGTACCTACATCTTACAAGCTAGACCAATATTGTTAGGTGAAGACTGCTATTCATACTGAATATACCTTTTTAGTTCAATCATATATGGGTCTGGGTCGTATGAATAGATCGCGTTTTCTGAGAATCGTACCTATATCAGATTTTGAATCTCAATATCTAATATCAAAACTATATATTTCAATATCTAGATATTCTACGTACGCGTTTATATGTACCTCTCTGATACGCTGTTGACATCAACTTCAAAAAAAGGAAGGTCTTTATTCGACCCGTACATACATATTATGTATGTTTGCGATTTTCTGAAATCTAAAAAAAAACCATTAACCAATTTTAATTATATTTTATTAACTTAATCTTCATAAAAGTCGGTTAATTCGATTTTGTAATACATAGTTTTCGTAAGAATCAGTATAATACCTATATCGCTCGCACTCTGCTGCACACGGTGAATCTAGGCACCGATTGATGCGAAGCGATATAGGCATAACCGTGGTGCGAAAATATCAGATTTTGTAATACATAGTTTTCGAACGAACTAGTAAGCTGTTTTTAGATATTGTACGTTGTACCAATCAGGGATTGAAAACGGTTCCAAAATACCGGTATAGAACAAATATTTAGGGGTTTCGGTACCTATACCGGAACAGGAACCAGAACCTAAATTGGAACCTTTATTTTACCGGTTCGTAAGCAAAAGGAAAGCGAGTCCAAACTTGTTTGAGGTGCGGTTGGGTGGATGGTGCGATGCAGCGCGCGGCGGAGTGTGAGGAGAGGGGAGTTCACATTTGTATTGGTGGATCTTCTGTTGCATATCAACGCAGCGTTGCCAACTCTACGGATTTTCCGTAGATCTACGCAATAAAATTGTCATTCAATCAAATTGTCATCTACGGAACTACGAAATTTGAGGTTGCAATCTACGGGCTTTTTATTAACTTAATCGTCGATCCTAAACGGAACGGATATTTTAAAAAAGCATCTACGGAATTTTTTATACCAATCAACGGATTTGAAGAAATTTGATTTAAGGTTTTTGGAACCGGTATTTAGAACCGGTACATCGGAACCCAAACCGGAACCGATACCGGAACTGGAACCGATACCGGAACTGGAACCGATACCGGAACTGGAACCGTACCGAAAAGAGGAACCTTTATGAGAACCTAAATGAAGAACCAGAACCGAAATTGGTACTAGTATTCAATCCCTGGTACCAATATATAGATGTCGAATCAGTATGCGGTTTGCATTGCCCACCTCTAAGTGTATATATATGCTTATTATTTTGTGTTTTACCCGTTTAGTGATGGATCAATTCCATTTACTCATTCGACTTAACTCGAGTTGTGTTCAACTCGAACTAACTTGAGTCGGATAATCACTAAATCGAGTTCAGGTTGGCGATTGTAATTGAACGAATTATGCGAGCAAGCGAGAGCGCAATTTGTCTATTGTGCTTATACATGTATTATATAATACCTATAAATTATTTAAGAATAATTTGTTATAGTGAAATTATTATTAACATAAGTACCTAAGTCGTAAAGTTGTAATATTATTTTGTGAATATTGTCTAGTTATGATATTAAGTATAGATTAAATACATATAGTATTATAAATACGTTTTACAGTTTACTCCTACCTACGAAGGTCGGTAATAATAATTGTCCCAAAACATACGATACCATCGTATTAGCCTGTGCCATATAACAAATTGACTCAGTTTCGTTCTACCAATTTCAGTTGATCAACTCGAGTTCAATTCGAGTCACGTGAATTTCAACTAGAGTCGAGTTTCACATCTCTATTAACTTTATTACATTTGAATTTGCGTGCGATTTGTTAATAAAAGTAGGCAAACGTCTTAGACCATACATCCTAATATGATGTGTATAACCTGTCGGAAATATCTGCGAACCTGGCTTGATGACGTCATGCAATATGGAGAGATAGCAAAAAAAAATCGAGATGCAAAAATGAAATATATTTTTTGTGCGCCTATTTATTTTTATACTTCTATACAACGCCTTAAAATAAATTTAAAATAAAAAATACATTCCTATTAAAAATAAAACTATTTGTATATATCAATGTAACGCTTTTATACCGGAAAAAGTAAATGCAAGAAACCATATTAAGTATAAAAGTTTGTTCTTAGAAATGCTTTTTTTATTAGTTTCTATTCTAGGGTAAGTATAATAAATTAAAATCAAATAATTTTCGAGCCATTTAATTAGCAGGCGCATAAATCAAAACTATCTAGATCAATTTTCTTTTTGTATTTTTTACGCTTCTTCCCTGGTGTCGAGAGCATAATAGTGTCCGTGGTAACTGAAGCTGACGTACTAGGTTGTGGGTCTTCTTCGAAGGACGTCATCTCTTCCTGAACATTTGCCTCTTTAGTTGATTCTGACAAAACTTGTAACTTTTTTGCTTTACTTTTTATTTTCATTATGGTCGATTTAGATAAACCAGTTGCTGCACATGCCCTTTTTGTTGCTTGTTCAACCGGGATACTGAAACAGCCTCGTTGTTTTTCATTATCAAAAAATTTTATTACTTTGAGCACTAAATTCCGCTCGGCACTATGTATAGTCTTACCCATCTTGTAAGTAGTCTATTGTAATAATAGTAATATTTCACCAAACAGAGAAACAATAAACAATAATGCGATTACGAAAGCGAGATTAATACACGTGCGTCGGCGCTTGCGTTGGCAACGGTACTGGATAGACGATAACGGGCGGAGGTGCGGGGAAGCGCGAGGGGAAGCGCATTCCAGCGAGGTTCGCAGATATTTCCGACAGGTAGTACGAAACTTTTAGATTCAATTCAGAATAGCAGCGTGAGGACGCCGAAATATTTATACCAAAAGTTTACGAGGAGTTAATCTAATATAAAATTACTGAGATATATTTTTTTTACGGGGTATC